TTACCCTTTGCACTTTTCACAGATCACTGAAATAACAATAACTACTGCCTACAATAATGGACGTCTAAAATAAACATGAAAGTCTAATATAATCTTTGTTGAGCCAACTACAACCTGTTATTTAAAAATATTTAAGTACTTATAAAACTTTTGATTATCTCCTAGCAAGAGGACTGGGTTTGTACTGTGGACGATACCTGGGTGGGTACGGACAAGCCCTTCTTGGTGTGGAAGCCGAACTTTCAGAAATTTTATGATGATTCCCTTCAAGTGCATTTTGTGCCACCGATTTGCATCTTTTTGCACTCTTGGCAGGGCTATCTCTGGATGGCATACCACTGGGATTTGAGTGAGGAGACTTTTCCCTTCTTGACATCTGAACTACTCTCTCTTGCAGCATTCCTTCTTTTGCTTGGAGAAAGCCAAGGTGGTGTCAGGCAATCCTGTACTTGCATCAGTTGTGAAAAGAATGCCCCTGGAGACCACTGACTTTTAGGTGCAGTCTCTTTAGCAGTTCTGGGGGATTCACCTGAAGTTCTAGGGACATTACTGTTTTGATTTTCATCTTGTGGCTTTTGAACCTATAGGAGGAAATAAATTGATTAACAAAAAATGAGAGAAAGGGAATATAGTGAAGGGGGTCTGGGGTAGGGAGAAAATTAACCTAAAAGGAAACATTAACATATAATTCACATGAAAAACAAATCTTACTAGATTTGGTAACCACAAAACCCACAGGTAAATCAAATCACATTATGCAAATGAAGGAATATATTAATGAATATTGTAACCTTATGTGACAATAATATGGAATATTATACTTCTATATTTGATCTTCATCTAATAATACATCCAAAACTCAGTGCTAATACATAACACAATAAAATATAAACTTGGCAACCTTTGCTGGCTACAGTGCTTGGAGAAGAGAAAGAGAAAGAGAGACAGAGAAAAAAGTACAGGGTAGGGTAAAGTAAAGAGAAGTTGAGAAGATTATTTTCTGCATTGTTTTCGGAAATGCATAGATTTTCCTAGAGCTATGCTTTCATAACAGATGCTCACAGGGCCTGAATTTTTGGGATGTAATATTACACAACAGTCTAGATTTTCTGGCTAGGCCTAAGTTGTATACAGCTGGCCCACCTGTTATGAGTTATGATGTGTATATATGTCAAAGGACATTATGTCATGAGTCATACCCGTACCTGTCACTGAAAGGTTAACAACAGATTCCACAATGCATAACAAACTAAAAACAGATTCCATAATGTACATCATAAATTCATTATTGTTTTTTACGCATTTGTGTATATAAATATATTTATGTATATTTGAACATGCGTTTATTTAAGTAAACAAATACCAGTGCACTTATCATACCTTGAGAGCGATCAATTGTTCAGGATCTCCTCTCACAGTTAACTTCCGAAGGGCAGGTCTTCTCATTGGCTTTCTGGAGCTGGATTCCTTTCGCAGAGTTCTCCTGTTCCTCACAGCTTGATGAATGGCTTCCTTGAGGGCAGCCACCCATTCACCTGCCTTATCACTGCTGAAGAGTAGCATGTCCTCTGATTCACATTTTAACTGTGAGAAATTGGGAATGGAGACAAAACAAAAATTACCTATATATCCCTCACTTCTTTAGTACGAAGTTTTGGCAATACTTTTTACAAGGTCAAGACCTGTATCCAAGTTCTTGATCTATTTAGCTGTTATTTGTAAAGGTTTTAAGGATAAATATATGAACACATCTACAGTATATTCAGATGTAAGGGTGAGCAAAAAGACATAATTTGATTAGAGAAATAAAGATATTATACTTTACTTCTGACTTCATATTTCATTAATCCATTTTGTAAATATGTTAAAGCAGTAATGATTAGGTGAAATTATCATCTTTGTATTTGTTTGGAAAACATTCAAAACAAGCATTACATATCATCATTCAGCTGTTAACTATATCCAGCATGGGTGGGTTATCTTAAACCCTTGTCAAAAATAAATCCTCCTAACCTTACATGCAAAGGTTAACTTTTAACGTCAACAAACTTACTAACCCGAAAAAGATTTTGCTGACCACTTCCAAACACGCATGTGACTGAGCAGTGTCGAAGAGGCAGCAAACAACAATACTCCAGAGATCGTGGCTTGTAATCCATATCAAGAGCTTCACTAATACTGTTGTGCAAGAAATTTAAATATATCTGTACCCATCTCAGAATAGATTACAGAGAAAAAATATCATTACATATCACTAATACATTACAGACTCAAAGATGTAAACAAGTACAACACTTATTTTTCTACACACACTACCAATTCAGTAATATTCCTCTGACCCCTTTATCACACATCTGCCACGTAGCTAAAGCATCATAAACCATAGCTGACATTTGCACCTTGACTGCAAGCTATAATGGAGTAAATATAAACTGAATAGGTTTAAAACTGCACCAAATCAACAGAACTCCACCAACCACTGGAATGTAAACAATCAAGG